TGATAGTTGTTGGATCTACCGTCCTACTGAAGAGGATTGGATTCTGTGACCGTAGTGTCTTCTCCTTCTGACTAAGAAGATTAGGCTTGGTCCGATTGCTCAGGTTGATCCTGCTTACTTTGTTCTTCAGCTTTGATCCTGGTAATAATCTTTTGAGCCTGTTCGCCTTGAGAGATTAGTTATCTCCAGGAACGGCATTCTGTAACCCTCATTTGTAATAAGAAAAATAATAAAAGAATCGTATTTGATTTATTCTCTCTAACTGCTTAGAAAAAGAATGATTACAACCCTCTCAATCTCGATTACAATTGGATTTCCTGATTACAAAAGAGAGGAGAATGATCTGGATTCTCCCATTTGTTTAATTCTGGGTTCTTCACGATGGCGATGAAGTGCCTCCCTCGAATGCTCGCGTCGAGTTTGCTCTCCGTTGACGATCCGCACATCTTGATTCACTGGAACGATATCTCCTCCTCACGATTCGACGCTGTGGAGAACTTGCGTGGTAAGTTTGAAACTCTAAAAGAGTTGATAACTCAGAGCGAGTTTAAACTCTTGAAAAAGAGTTGTTTTGAACCAAAAGTTCGGTTAATAAGCCAAGAGAATGCTCCAAGAACTTTATTGTTGCAAGAAGCTCTAAGATGCCAGATCGAAGATCCCCCAAAAAGTCAGCCAAAGATCTCCTCCTCGCTGCCAAGCTCCAGGGTCAATCCAAGCTAAGAAGTTCCAACTCTTAACTCGGTTGAGTTTCTTCTTATTTATAGGGGATTAAGGGGGTGTAACTGCCCCTTAAATCACTCCTAAGTGGGGTGTAACCGCACTCAAATCATGGAAAATAATTTTGAAAGTGTTTAAGGGTTTAAATGGTGTAACCCCCCTAAATACTCTCCATAATGGGGTCTAACCGACCCCATTAAGTGGAGATACGGTTTAAAAAGACTGTTTAGGTTCTGTTTGAACCAGTCAAACGCAAAAAATGCGGGTCTGACCCCTGCGTTTTGATGTTACAACGCAGGTTCGACTTCGGCGTTTTGATATTGCAACGCAGGGAGGACTTCTGCGTTATGTTGCTGACACACGGGGATGACCTCCGCGTTTTGGTGTGGCAATGTAGGGAGGACCTATGCGTTTTGTTCCGGGAACACAACCACGAGCTATGCGTTTTGAATCTGGGACGCACATGTGAGCTCTGCGTCTGGATTTGAAGAGACCGTCAATTTGTAATCTCTTTTGCTAGTGTTGGTCTTCTTGTTTTGATGATGATTTACAAACAATTTACATCTAATATTGTTTGTCTAGTGTTTGTGTTTTATATTTATTCTAGGCAAACAATATGTTGGAGGTTGGATGGATTGCGCTTCAACGATCATATCAAGAGGAGGTTGGCGGAATAGTGGAGTGAAGCAATGCACAATTCAAAGTTAAAGATCAAGTTCAAGCTTCATCCGCGAGATTACCAAGTCAAGCATATTGAAGACCAATCAAGCTTGGGTAATTTAGTTTAGGAATTTATATTATGTGTGTTAGTACTTTAAGCTCAATCATATACACACATACACGTTTTGGTTTTTGTATATATATAGTTATATATATACATATATATTTTGGTTTGATAGTTTTCAAGTTTTACTATGAAACAATTGAATATAATTAGAAAACATATTTTTGTTTCATACTCATATGCATAGATATGATTTCATCAATTCAATTTTAGTTAGTTAAATGAAATCATGTTTTAGTGCATTATATGTGTATTTTGATAAAATACTACATTCATTGTTTATAGACTTCATAACAGTAGTTTACATCTTTCTTCAAGTCTATAAAATCATTTTGTAAAGTTTCAAATGTTGATTTAGCCAAAATATCAAAATTCTCATATTTACATTTTCGTGTTTTGGACTATCTTGCAAAATGATGATATTTTTTATTTGGGAAGTCCTTTTTCGAAACCAGTCGTTGTAGCATGTTTATTATCATGTCTACAATCATTCCCCAAAGTTTTACATTTTTTGGAATTTATTTGATATTTTTAAACAGTGTTTTAAAATCAGCAAAACATGTTTTTTCATGTGTCAGATTTCGGTCGACCGCACCGGTCGACCGATCATGTGTTCATTTCTTACCATGCGACAGAGAGTCTGTCGGTCGACCGGTCCGGTCGACCGAAAGCTCCATCGGTCGACCGCACCGGTCGACCGACGAAGTCTGCTTGGTTCTTTGTTTTTCAGACCTGCTCGCGGTCGACCGGATTTTCCGTCGGTCGACCGAATTCTTTCCATCGGTCGACCGACGAGATTTCCGGTCGACCGACAAAAGAGCCGTTGGCTCCTAATGGCTATTTCCTGAGCAGATTTCTGGGGGCTTTTCTGTCTTTTGTTTTGGGTGTTTTTGCTGAGATCTTTAGAGGGTATAAATACCCCTTTGCTGATCTCTCTTTTTTTCACTTATCTAAGAGAATGTTTTAACAAGTTTTAAACAAGGGTTTAAACCTGTTTAGTTTTTGGTTTAAGTTTGTTTTGGTTTGCTGTTACAAAGAGGAGTTTACAATCAGCTATTGAAGAGTTCATCTTCAACATTTCATCATCCTCTCTTTGTGTTTATAGAGAAGTTTCCTTAACTCTATTTCCTAGCATTTTTACTATTGAATTTCATATCAATTCTTATTGCTAGTTCTTATTGAGTTAAGTTTTATTGAATCTCATTGTTACACACACCCACTTGAGCTTATTGTATTTGCATACATAGTATATTAGGGTTGTGAGAGATTGTAACATTAAGTTGTGCTTTATTGTGTTCTCATCTATTGTAGAGAACAAATTTATATTTGTTACATTGTGAGATTGTAAGGTTTTCGGTGAGCTAGAAAACCGAGTGTGTTGTGAAGTTTTCGGTGAACTAGAAAACCGATTGTGAGGAGTGACGTTGATCGGTGAGCGTTGAAAACCGATACTGTGAGGTGTAAACCACTATCTAGTTTAGATTGTTTACCCTTGAGTTTATATATCCTTGCTCATATACTCATATATATTTCATCATATAGGATATATCACTTTGTGTATATTGCTTATTCTTGCTTATAACTATTGTATATCTATCTTGCAAGAATATAACTTGTTAATTAGTTTTTAATTGGCATTTAATCGGATTAGATTAGCATAAGACCCTAATCACCCCCCCTCTAGGGTCTAACAGCTAGAACGTTGCAAAGACCGTCATCATGAAATATGAGAGTCATCAGATTATAACTCCCGATGTTGATTGTGAAGGCTGTTGATTAGAGTTTTCATCAGTTGTTGTGAAGGTCGTCAGATTGTAACCTTCATCGATCTACGTGAGGCTGTTGATTAGAGTTTTCATCAGTTGTTGTGAAGGTCGTCAGATTGTAACCTTCATCGATCTACGTGAAAGTCTTCAAATTATAGCCTTCTGGAAGTCGTCAGATTGTAACTTCCATCACCAGTGTTTGATGGGGGATCAGCTATCTATTATAGTTTTTAGACAGCCTACAGTGAGCCTTCAATTCGTTCTCATCCATTGTAGAGAACAAATCATTTTCACTTGTGCTTATTTGTGAGATCACATTGTAATACACAATGACACCGAGAGAAGTGTGTGGTAAGAGACTGGGTCAATTCCAAGAGGAGTGGCGTTGGCAGTAAAGCCTAGGGAGAGGTGGTAAATTTAAGCACTTAAGGAAGTTGACATGGGCTAGGCCAACACTTAGAGGGTGTATTGTGTGATTACAATTGTGTGAGTTCTGAAAGTTTTCGGTGAGCTAGAAAATTGATTGTGTAAACGTTTTCGGTGAACGTTGAAAACCGGTTGTGATAATGGAGATTCTCCTCGTGAGTTAGGAGCAGAGACGTAGGTCGAGAGTGACCGAACTCCGTGATCATATTGTGCGTTTGTGTTTGTCATTGGCACACTTATTATTGTGTTCATCTTATATTGCCTATTGTGCTCATTTATATTATCTCATGTTTATATTGCCCTGAGTTTAATTGCATATCATTGCTCATATATCTTGTTGTATATCATATTTGTTAGGATATTTTTAATAAGTTTTAATTTTGCATTAATATCGGATTAGATTAGCATATACCCTATTCATCCCCCTCTAGGGTAATTTCAATATAGTATAATTAATTAACAATGATAATTAATTTAGTTTAGTTAGTAATAAAATGTAATATAAAAAATAGGGGTAATATAGTCATTGAAAAGTTTTTCCACAACTCTCATTTTTAAATGGAGTATGATATGATATGCTATGATATGATAATTATTTCAATTAATTTAAAAGGAAATTATCAGTATTGGGATGTGATGGAAATTATTAAAACTAAAAGGGGCAAAATAGACATTCAAAAATTTTGACACTTGTTTTCTATTTTATTATAATAAATAAATTATAAATGATTAATTATCAATTATAAGTAGTAGTATATATAGATAGATTAAAAATATGTTGAAATAAAAAAATATATGTCAACAAAATATACTAAGATGGTAATTTTGCCATTTTTAGGTATATATTAATTAGGTCTTTTAGAGTTATTAAAGATAAAGAAAAGTTGCTATAGAAGTTGCAAAATAAAATTTCATTTGCAACACAAGGAAGGTTAACTGTGGCTTATTGCTAAGCTTAAAAAAAGGAAAAAAAAAAGAAACTATGGTTTATTGCAAACAATAATTTACTTGGCTATAATTTTCACTAGTGTGCACCTTGTGCAAAGCATGACCTTATTTCTTTTATTTCCGCTACAGTAATTCTCCATTTAAATACAGTCTTTGTAAGTGTTATAATAATATTTTTTAAAAAATACTACAGTATTCCGTCGAACTACAGCAATAATGCTACAGTAATAATTTACTATTCCATTATTGTAACATAAATAATGAATTTTAGATCCTCCCATTATTACCATTATTATAGACTAATAGATTTGCAAATAAAGTCCAAACGAATAAATTCATTTCGCGGGTTATAGCCGCGTTTTCAACCCGCATATTACATCTCCATCAGTCCATCTCTATCATCCAACCCTAGAGCCTCTCTTCTCTCCCTCGATCTTGAGATCTCCCGAACTTTCTAGAGCCTCAAAACCCTAGCGATCTTCTCCGATTCCGAGAGCAAACTTGGATTCGACATCGAGGAAAACCCTATCGATCCCCGCATCCCTCCATCCTCATCCAATCTCGGGTAAGCTCTTGAATCCTCCTGTTTTTAATGTTTCTAGACGTTTAATAAGTCCGATTTGAGATTTTTATCGGAAGTTTCAGCGTAAATCGGTTGATTTAAGATAAATTCTTCTAGATCGCCATGGATTCATTTTAGTTCTTGATATATTTGTACGGATTCCCTTTTATCGTGAATTTAATTGATTAATGGACGTTAGTTGTTGCTCAAATGTGATTATCTGATTAGGGGGAAGGTGTTGCAGAATTTTAATATAAAAATTGAAATAATGCATTGAATCTGAATATAATTTTGCAATTTAGCATATATTAAAATTGAATTTCCGGTTTCGGTGGACTCAATTTCAGTTAAGCTTGGTTAAAGTTCATTTCTTTGACACCGATGCCAATAATTAGTGGCTACAGGCAGTCATTATTTCATGACAATTGGGTTACTTTCGTGTGAGTATTGATCTATTTTGTTTACTGTGCTAAATCTTTTCTTACATCTATTTGTTTTCTTTTGACGGAATCTTAGTTGGTGAGGATGTCGACTCCTGCAAGGAAGAGACTGATGAGGGACTTCAAGAGATTGCAGCAAGATCCTCCTGCTGGTATAAGTGGTGCTCCCCAGGACAATAATATCATGCTCTGGAACGCTGTCATATTTGGGTAAGAGACTTACAAAGGCTTTGTTGCTATTGTCATTATTGCAATTAAGGGGAATTTTTTTACTTTTGGTGACACTTTTTGAGTTATTTCATTGGATTGCAGACCTGATGACACTCCTTGGGATGGAGGTGAGGCAATTTAACTGTTCAGGCAATGATTCAGCGAGAAAAGCTTGTTTGTCATCTGTTATCGTTATTGTGAAAACAACTTGTGATTTTTGAAATTTTTAGCAGCACTTAGCTCCATATTTTCATCATTTATTTTGAATATGTTTGGTTGCCAACTCCTAGTTTATTTTTGCTTAGGTGTATTTGTTGCACATGTGTCTCTTTTCAATTTAGATAACCTGCCATCATGACTGATACAAGTATCTCAAACGTTCACGGTTCACTTGTTTGCTGATTCAGTTGCAACCTACTGATTGCGTATCCTATGACTGTTTATGCCCATTTCTCGCTGTCAGTTCTCTTAAACCACAAATTACTATGTTTCTTGCTTTATATGGATAACATTTTTCTACGACATAAGTTTTGTTCTAAATTCTCCAAGACAACCAATCATCACCATATTGGTCCCTAAAGCTGAAATTAAATGAGTCTTGCTACTAAATTAAAAAATAACTATGACACAGTGACATTGTGTCTGGATTCTCTCGCATCATTTGCAAGCTGTGAAATCTTGTCTTTTTGGTCTATTTTGGCGCTCCCAGTATATATGGATGGCATTTCATGTTGTTGGCATTAAGTTCATGCTAACTAGCTAAAAGTTGGATTTAAAATTCACATAGACAGATAACCCAAATCAACACTAGCTATGATGTGACCTATCCCGAATTGTACATGATGCATCTTCCAAGTTGGCATTCATGGTCATCTTCCTACTCGTTTCATTTCATATTTTCACAGCAACAAGTGACAGTGTTATTTGGAAATTAGTGAGGTCTAAGGATCTAGTTGATAAGTTGTGGAAGTTGGAATCTGGGCAAATTGACATGTCAGCATGGAATCCTGATCATGCAACAATTTAGTTGATGTTCGGTTTAAGCGAGCAAGTTTGTGCAGAAATCTTATTGTATATGCATCTCAATTTTGGATTTCAATTAGGATAATCAGGTGTTGTAGGATTGTACTATGCTGGTTAGTTTGTTGCTTTTCTCAAATGCCTTTGCTTTCTGCTTTTCAATATAATCCTTGCTGATATAATGTTTTTGGTTCGGACATTATCCATTATTGCTACTTCTTATAGAAACAGATGTCATTTGCACAATGGCGTTACTTATTTTTTGATTTCCTTAACTTTATGTCTTATCTATCTTTTTCTTCTATGATGATTTTCCCAGGTACGTTTAAATTAACACTTCAATTTACAGAGGATTATCCTAACAAACCACCTACTGTGCGCTTTGTTTCTCGGATGTTCCATCCAAATAGTAAGTAGTCATGTGCAAATCACATCTTAATCATCATTTTGCGAGCGCCAACTTATTTTAGCATAAAATTGTTCTGACTATAACAAGCATCAATGCAAAACATGACTGTTTGAGCATTATTTATTCTTATTGTAGCTTGGGAAGTGTGTTGTGGTTGACTCTTGGTTGATGTTTGCTTAGACTTGAACGCAGTCCCTTATAACAAAACCTGGCAACTTTGTCCTTCTAGGCTATAGTTATTCAATGAAGTTTGGAAGCTTTGCTTCTTTATTCTGAAAGAATATAGTGCAGATCCAAGTAGGATTCAAGAGGTTTTGGATATGTGGAAGCCATCCTCTTGTATATGGTTTCTTTAGACATTTGGCACTAATTAGAGAGTTGACATGAGGTTGATAAGTGGTCTAGCTTGTTGTAGAAATTTGCCAAATCTATCATGGAACCTTACCTCATTATTATGTAAAAGTTTAGATAATCTTAGTTGTTGGATGATAGTTCTGGGTTTTTTTTCACTGACAAATCTGAAGTGAGTATTATATATCATGTAGCAGTTACGTATGGGGTACATGTGCATTTTGAAGAGGGGTTCTGAAGCCATTCAGTAATTTCAATAACTTTCGCCTCGTCAGTCTGCTATATAGTGACCTTTCATACCCTAGGTTGTGCTTTATTATTCCTTTACACGAGCCATGAAGATTTAATGCTACACGGCAAATTTGTAGAGGGTAGGGTATAGGGACACGACTGTATAAATATTTACACACATTATATATGGGAATTAATAATTTGTATGAGAACAAGGATGAGAATTAAAATTCCTATAATATCTTTATGTTTCTTTTATTATGTGGGTTATAAATTGAAAAATCACTAGTTTTTGAGCTAGACATCCAAATGACCCTTCAAAATCATAATTCGGAACCTGACCTATGTCCAACGAGTTTCAAGAAAAGGATATGAAGTGTAGGATATGTCGGAAAAAATGTATGACAAGTGTTTTAAAGTAAGAAACTGTATTGTATAATTGAGCACATGCCCGAATAAATATATGCATAAATGCAAGGACTGTCCAGGGTGTTTGGGTACCGGTACGGGTATGTGCTGGGTATGGTATAACATAGACGCCTAGATTCTTCTATATAGTTTCGTTAGTCTGCTCACTAATTCCTGTCTATTGAGGTAGTAATGAAATATGAGTACTCTAGGTGTTAATCCTTTTATCTATACATAATTATTATCTAGTGCTGAGGTTTACACATTTGGATAATTCATAGATTCTGATGCTTTCATGCTATGAACAAGGACTAATGCATAGGCCAAAAATTGCACACTATTGTTGGAGCTTTTTTAGAAATCGCACAGGAATTGACTGTTCATGTTGAATCAAGGTTTAAATATCGGTCATTGGGGATTTATTAGACTATCAAACTCCATATCGGATAGCGGATATCGGGGATAGTAGTATTTATCGGAGTGACATTACTGAATGGTGATATACATAATATAATATTCTAAATGTGATCTAACCATACTTAATGAAATATAAACATATCAAAATATAAATAGATATGCTTAGGATCACTAACTAATGATAGAAACTCAGGTCGGGTTGGGTTTAAAGCGCATTGAATAGGAACTTATTACCTGAAATCAAAATTCAAACTAAAGGTTGATAATTCTAATTTTTAGGCTGTTTTATTGTCACATTTATTAGCGATAAACATCCAAAAAACGATAATCGATTTAGAATTGAACTTATTATAGCGGAAGACCCCCAAAACTGATAAATCATCGATAATATCGGTTTATTGGCCGATATTTAAAACATTGTATTGAATACAAGATAAATGCAACCATAAAGTTTAAAAAGGGGAAATTTTGATATATAGTAATTTTTGGTCAGACATGGCTGTAAATCTAAAAGGATAAGCACTTAGTCTTAATGTTTGTGAAGATTTTGATATTCCTTTCCTTTTAGGCCTTTTTCAACATTTACTTACATAATTACATCTTTGGCAAATTATGGTTCCAAATTCTTTACATTTTTTTTTGAAATATACTTCTTAACAAGTAACTTTAGCCATTCCCCCTTAAAAATTGCACCTAGATATTTATTTTCATGTTTCTATAAATATTTAGGTAATCCTTTAGATTCTAAATATTTTAATCCTGAATAGAACAAGGAGCATGTATTAAATATTAAAATACACTTTATATTTTATATTTTTTAGTCTTTAGCAGTAACTAGTTGAATTTATTAATGATCCCAAATTACAAACAAAAACCTAATATTGTACTTTTTCTATTCAGTTAAAATTTTAATCCTCAATACAAAGATGCTACTTAGCTTCTAAGTCTATTAGCCATTCCATCACCTAAAATAGGCTATGCAGTAACAAACTCCTCTGGGAACGAGGAGGATTTGGATCTTAAGCAAAAAGTGGGTGGGGAGCTTAAGTTAACTTTTTTTTCTTTTCAATAATTAAAAGGATTTCAAAAAAGATAATGGATGCGGAGCACATCATTCAGTCAAGTTGAGGTATTACATCATTATATCAGATCGAAAGGTATTTCAAAAGCATACAGTGTGGAATTTTAGACCTACGATGGGTAAAATAGAAAGATTGACCATGGTTAAGTAAATTTGGGTCCAGAAATTTAGTAAGCATGTAGATTTGAAGGTTATTAGCATAGCATGTTCATCATCCATCCGTTATATAATTAAGTGAAAAAGGGTTTGGATGATCTTCTTTCGATTGTTTATCAATATTTATTTTATGATGTCGACATGAGTATTGTGAGTTTGTGACCATTTTGTATTTTCTACTCCCTTTGCAGCTTTTGCTGTCTTTGTATTTGCTAGTTGATATCTGCCAGTCTTTAGTGGTAGATGACATTACTAGTCATTCTAACCTTTTACTTTTGTAGTTTACGCTGATGGAAGTATTTGCTTGGATATTCTACAAAATCAGTGGAGCCCTATATATGATGTCGCTGCAATACTCACATCAATCCAGGTGTGTGCTAGAATCTTCTGTTTCATTCATGTGTTTATGAATTTTTGTTCATAAACCACTTTTTATTGTCTTATACGTAATTTTTTGAAAGCGTGCATGGCTGGTGTGAACTACACTGAAAAATTTACATTATCACGTAAAATAAGAAATAATCAATGTTTGAAAAGGCTGTTTGATGTGTTCTAATGCTCGCCTAGTCACCTCAAAAGGGCAAAGGCAGCCTAGAAGCATTCGCGTAACACTTGACACAGACTTACATGCTCTAATGAACACTGATTTGGAAGTTAGAAGGTAGAGCTAAACATTTCACAATTATGCATAGGTGGACTTTAGGAGTGGGTGTGGGCTGGTTCAGGCTCGTGACTCGACCTGTCGGGTTTAAGGGCCGGGCTAGGTCTGATTTG